AGCAGCTTTAAAACATTTTTTTCTTCTCCTGTACTTAATTTTTTTACTGGTTTCATCTTTCAACCTTGAAATGTGCTCAACCGTCATTTGTGTTGACGCAATATCACGTAATGTACACACATACTTCATATTAACGATAATGAACATCTAACATGCTAAAAAATTTGAAAAAAGGCTCACGACAGCATATTAGGAGGTTATTAGAATAAGAAAGTACCAACAAAAGGCACAGCTTAATGGTGTACAGTAAGTGACACACATTAAAGCAAACTGTCTTGCTTGAAGCACCTCATAAAAGATATGGCAATAATTTTCCTTAATAATGAGCACCTCGTCCCTTTGTTACTACTTCTTCTACATAGATTCTATTGTGTCGCCTGCCTTCTCTACATCCACCACAATAACATGATGCTTAAAATGGAACAACGGGACATAATAGAATAAATAATAATAATAATGGCAATAATTTGCCCTCGTTGAAAGGCAATGAATGAATGGATGGAACGACGATGAAAAAAAAAAGACATTTCTTTACCATCTAGCAAGAATTACCTCCAATGATCTGCTTTCTATCTCCTCGTTAAGACTTTGTATCCCTCCTGTTCCTCCTCCTAGAATTTTTTTTATCTTTAATTCCTATATTTACTGATTTTTGGCGCTGTTGTTTGCAATTATGTTGCTTTGAGTTTTTGAGTCAGTTTGGGATGCTTGTGGTTGAAAATGAGATAACTGAGTGTTAAGAAGCTTTAAATCCTGTCTAATTCATTACCGATGGATATTAATAGGCAAAACTTTAAATATTTCCAAGACAGTTGAATTTAGGTCTTTCAAATATTTTTTTAATCTTAAATCCTCAAAAATTCAAAGTCAATTCACTTGTAAGCCAACTGAATAAACACAAAATGCTTTTCACATTCAATTCCAATAAAAATTTCAAACTCAATATTTTTGTCATTGCCATATTATTATTATTTTCTTTTTTAAAGTAAGGAAGAATGAAAATTGGAATATTGTCGAGAGGAAATTTTCTTTATTCATTTTATATTTTCCTCGTCCTCTCCATGAGCCATAGAGAGAGGAATGAAATAGTAAAAAAGCACAAAAAAAAAGCCAAGAACAATTTGTGCTTGTATCGTTAAAAATTATCGCTTTCTTTTATCTTGCATTTTTACATTGCTTAGTAACTGGAGTGGATGGGCTGATTGCCTTTTATTAAATTCTCTATTTTCTTCAATTTTTGGATTGCATGAAAAATGCTTCTTTACTTGGAATATTGAAGAAGAAAATAAATGTCACGAGGGAGAAATTTTGATGAGAAATGGAAATACTTTTTATATTTATTATTTAGAAACATTCTTCATAGCTATGGAAATTATGCTGTGATTCTAGTAAAAATTTGGAATTTTGATGGATATAAATGAAGATGGTCTAATATTAAGTGATGACAGGGAATCTGAGGCTTATGACATTAGCCATTTATAAACGATGCTTTGACAATTTAAAGAAAAATCTCAAGTGCACTAAAACCAGTCCGCAAGCCTCAAAAACAAGCTAATAATCAGATATAAATCTAATGACTACATATTGATTTACAATACCCAAGTGACATTGACTTTCATTTGCGGTTAATTCAGTTACATGCACAATTAATTAAACTTTCATGAACATTACTGAATATTGTAGTTAATCAGTTCAACAAATGTCTATATCATAATAAGTCAATCAGCATAAAATAAGAAATATCTAATTACTGTAGCTACTGATAAACAACATTGTAAATAATTCTATACATACTAAATTATGCAATGATTTCGAGCACAACATGCATGTAAATATATTCAAAGGAATCGCTGTGAAATTAAATCAGATGTCGCTATGGGAATTGTATTTATTTCGATGAAGATTTGCTTCTGTTCAAAGATGAGAACAAAAAAAATGGAATTAGAAAAACGGTTCAAGGATACACGAGCCAAATTTATTGTGTTTGAGTAGGAAATTCTCGGAATTTTTTTTGTAGCATTTAAAGATGAAGATTAAGGATTTTGTGTCTTCTTCGTGAGACTGTTTGAGGTTCTTTATGTTAAGTTACTAGATGAATCTATTTGAAAAATGAAAAATATTACAAGCATGAGTTCAAATTCCAATCATATTTTCAGAATTCCAATTAGGCATTCCAGAACTTTCTTCAACACTGCCCACATCTCAAAAGTCTTCATCTTCTAGCAATTTCTGTTGCTGCTTTTTATTTTTATTATTATTACAAGCTTTTACAGTTACAAGAAAAACAATAAAACAATAACAATCCATGCTACAAAAAGTAGCGAGAAATAAATGTATTTGAACAAGAAAAAGTTTTTTTATGCTCGTAATGGATGTACAGATGATAAATACATACACTAATAAAGATTCATACATGAACACGCGGGATTATTCTTTCAAATGGCTTTAAGCTCTTGAATGGGAAATATGTAAAATTATGGAAAATATTCGACGGAAGTTCAAATTCCTTCTTTCTGTTTTTCATTTGCCGTGAGATTTCAGCTTTGTTAACAAGTTATCATGCCATCAAGAATGAATGTTAAGTGTAGATTCTCAACTTTTTGATCTGATGTTCTCTTCTTAATAAGGTTTCAGGCTTCAAACTGATTTTAAAAGCATTGCAATATCAACTTGGAAAAGTTCACATCCCTAGCGCCGACTATAACCTCAACAAGATGCACAAAATCGTTCCTACGGAAAGAATATAAAAATTACGAACAAGAAAAATTCATCATAAATTTGCATAGTCGAAGATACAAATAAACATCCTTCCTTTACTTCCACATCATCGTCATCATCGTTCTTATTACAGTTTCTACTATAGCTTAGCAGCAACAATAAAAATTCAGCATAACATTTTTTCATATCTTTCCATTTATCATTTCGATGCCATCTCACTTAAATTCGCTTATAAAGGAGATAGAAAGTAATTGTTAAGTGATGAAAAAATATTTATCATATCATCATCGTCGTCGTGAAATTCATACCGTATTTAAATAGTTTGATATGTCATCAATCGACATGAATTGTGAATTTTCATAAGTGCTGATAAATGTTTGTAAAAAATGCAGGTTTTAAGGAGACAGACTGGAAATTGAATTCCGGAATAAAATACAAATAGCACAAGCTAAGTCTACATGTTGGTATGAAAACTACTCATCTTATTATTTACATATGTTAATAATCTCATTTTCAAGGATATAGTAGCATAGCTTTTACTAATTGTCTCTAAAATGTAAGCAATAAAATTCAAGGCTCGCAAAAATTTTATCCTTAAATCACCATAAGAACCTAAATTCATCATCCGACATTTTTCTCCATCCTTAATGTTTTTTTTCATTCTCATGATGAGAAATGAGAAAAAAATAGCAAAACTGTAAATGTATCCAACAATTGCTAAGATACATTTATTCTTGTAAGGAATTATTCACATTCGTAATTGATATGTTTCTTATGTGTTAATTGCAAAAGCAAAAAGAAGAAAATACGATGATGGATGATCTTACTCCTTTATATTCTTTTTTACACACACAAACATACACACATGAGGCTCATGTACATGCATAAATATTTCATTTAAGTAGGAAATTTTTTTTGCCATCCTTCTTTACGCTTAACACACATGCTTGTTAGTTTAACGTTAACGCAGTGCCATGAAATTAGTTAAAGTTATGAGAAGAATAAATTAAGATGAAAAATGAGGAAGCTTTTTAAGCTGTTTTTAGCAAAATGAAAAATTGCTTTATGATGTTGAGAGTTTAACGGAAATAATTTATTTAAATTTATTGCACTACAGTTAATGATTTATAAATTGAGATGTAAGTTTTAATGGAAAGGAAGCTGGATGAGGGCTGAAATTTATTGCGATCGCGATAAGAAAATTTTTATTATTTCTCGACCGTGTGGATGTTAAAGGCGATTAATTATTGTTAAGATTATAAATATTTTATGATGTGAACTTTTTGTGTCCGCTGCAATGGATAATCTTTTTCTGGCATCTTAAAAATCTGTTAAAGCATCAATTTGACTCGAATGTTGCTTCCGATCTTATCAGGCATGAAAATTGACCCAAATATTCATCAATGGAATCTCCTCTTTATAAAAAATCTATGGATTGTGCCATTTCCTATATATTTTGAGATCAAACTTTCCAAAGCATCTTGAACCCTCAAAAATTCTTCTGATGTATCCATCTTTGATTTAAAGTTCTAATCCTTAACTCAAACATTTCCCTCATCAGTATGTCATTCAATCAATTTTTTTGTACATCCGCACATGAGACATTCTTATCCTTTTCTATTGAATTTTCAACATTCTTTGAGAAAAATGGTAACCGCCATTCGCAATTTGACAAATTACAATATTTCCATCCGTACCTTTTCAAAAAGAAATTCCATCTTTTGAATGTGAAAAATTTCTATTGAAATTTATGAACGAAGAATTTTTTGTATTCAATTTTTGTGCTGTAAAGAACCATTCTGATAATATTTTACATTGCAGGGTGTAGACACTAGAGCTGTCAGGCGCTTAGTTTTAAATTTATGGATGTCTATTGGGTTATGAATAGAATCTTGGATATTTGTTGATCAGATTTATGAAATTCGAATGTTAGACGTTGATTTAAGAGTTTTGGCAATGTATGGAGGATGAATGGTAAACATTGCAGCTGTCCCAAAGCATCACATATCAAATAAGCTTGCCAAATATTTTTCCAACCACAAAATGTGTCCAATCATTGGTATGTGATGCATGTTATCAGAAGAATGTACGCTTTATGTCTGGATACAATTACCTATTATGAATGAATGAAAGAGCGAACATTGAACTGATGATGGAATGAAAAGAAAGCAAGCTTGTTTATTCATATGACATTATTTTTCATGATGATAAAATAGAAGCAAAAACCTCCCCTGAAGTCTCGTCATTATATCTCATCTCTCATTTTCTTTCTTTCTTTACAGAATTATAAAGCTTTTCTCTCTCCATCTTCATTAAACATCCAACGACAACGGCTTCACAATTCATTGAATATTTTTTTCATCAACTGAGAGAGCGTAGGGCAGAAAAGCATCCTGAAAAATGACCCCGGGCCATTACATGTTGTGGGCTGTAATTTATTTTGCTTGTTTGTGTAGTGCATCTTTGTAAGTACCTTCCTCATTCCTTTCAACAATAATCTTTTTATTTTACATCTACTGGTACTACTTTTTTCTCTCTCATTTATGCTCATCTTTTATGTTATGACCTTTTTTTAAACATAAAAGACAATTTTGTGTTGTACCGTGTAAAAAAAATGTGATGAGCTTGTGAAAGATGCCTCTGATGATATCAGTCAAATAGCTTTTGATTTGGTTTATGTCTTCAGACGGATGGGATGTCTTTTAATCTAATTAGGTATTATGGGATGTTTTGATGAAGTGTTTTAAATATAACATTTAAATCAAGGGCGATCTTTAGGTGATTACAAGGAGTCATTTGATTGTAAAAAGGTTAAAGTAGATAGACGTATACCCAAGATAGCTAAATTTGAATTTTTTATATAAAAGATCCAGGTAAGCTTTATCATCAATCGTAATGGTGCATAAGCTCAAAAACCGCTAATGTTAGAGACATAAACTCTAATTTACAGCCAGTAAAACATAAAACCCAAAATTGACACAAATTTAAATGTCTCCTAACACAAAACTAATCCACAATCATGATAGTTTTCAGTAAATCAATAAATAAACAAATGGGTCATCATCAATCTTAAATAATAATTCCAAGGTTGTCTCTATTTACATTTTGACACGAATTGTTGTTTCAAGCACGTTCCATAAAATGACAATCTATATAAATTTAGTTGTGTCGTAATTTTTGAAGTCGACTAAAATTTACGACTTGCTTTAACACTTTAAAATGTCTGATGACTTTGTTGACGATAAGATTCAAGAAAAACATTTTCTTTATGAAACTGTGCTGTTTATACAACTGCTCTTTGTAACTAGAATTTATAGTGAGAGAGTAATCTTATCCTTATCAAGCAATATTGTAGCCATGACATTAAAGTAACATCAAAAGAAGTTGTAACATAAAAAGTGCTGTAATATTTGTAAAGAGAGAAAAATATGTAAAATAACAGCAAGACATTCTTATAACTTTCTCATTATCTTTTTTCCATTATCTTCATTATATCCTGCAACAATTAAATGCCATTATCATCACTGACATCATAACATGAACAAAAATGTTCAGAGCCAACAATCCACGAGTGAACTTTCGAGAGAAAGAGAAGAAAATTCTTGATCAAATTCTAGGCCAGGGGAAATATGATGCCCGTATACGACCGTCGGGTATCAATGGAACCGGTAAGTTCATTGTTATTTTTTAAATATCCACTTTACAATCAAATTGATATTAACAATAATAATAATAATAATTAACGCCGTAAGCATAAGTTGACGAATATTAAAACTTTTTAACATCATCATATCCCTCATGTACGTATGAAATCATCATGTAATACTATTACATACATGAAACCAACGTCCTCGACATCACAATCACCATGTGACAGATATGGAAAAAAAAATTCTCTTCTTTTATTTTTCATATTTTTGAACCTCAACGAAACATTAATTTCATATTTTTAATGGAATTAAAAAATCGACATACAATTTCCATACGTAAAGCGCAACACATCTACAAAGTAGATGTCCATCCTCCGCCTATTTTTTCTGTAAAGAGAAAATGATGATAATTAAATCGAGGAAATTAAATTTTTTTCCAGATGTGAAGATTGAAATTTTTTTTCAAATTGGTTATGAAACGACATGAAAAATGAGACACGAAAACACGAATTTTATTTACTGTTTTTTTTTCTCATTTGAAATTTTATTTCCACATACATCCATACATCTCTACAGTTTTAATTTGATTTCACGAAATTACACGTGCGGGTTGGGGTGTTTTTGGTGATAAAAGTGAAAAATTTATGACTTTTTGACTGGTTTTTGGGGGCTTTTGTAGTCTTTTTGAGGTATTCTGATCTGGTTTTAACAAAACATATCTTGATCTAGGCATATCCCATTTTTTTGGTGAAAACAGTTGCATAATTGTAATTGTTGTCAATGCTTATCTGGATCAAATAACTGACAATTTTGATTTTATCCATAAATATTTTTAAATAGATAAAGTAAATGAAGAAGAACGGCTAACTTTAAAAGCTTTTCTAGGTCTAATCCTTCTCTAAAATAGTCTAATCTAGACACTTCCACTTTATCATCTTCCATTTTCTACAAAAACACCCCAAAATGCATATATTAATGTTGATCTCATCAAGCATCAGCTACAACATTAACTATGAAAGTTGTGTAGTTTGTGGGATTTAACAAAAATATTTTTATGTTAGTTTTTCATTTTTAAACATTCAAAACCATAGAATAGAACATATAGAACATGTCACAGATTTCATTGTAAGAGATTTTCATCATCAACAGTATTTAGATGCTGTTGAGAATGCACCCGTATGTGTTGATTCTCTTGCATTGTCACCTGTACAAACACACAAACAACATTTTTCATTTAATATGATAAAAATTGTATTTAAAGTTTTTATTCTCAAATTTTTATTTCCTATTCTGCCTTTGTTGCTTAAAAAAATGACAAAATTTTTTCAATTTATTTCGTTTCCTTTCTCTTTGTCTATCACTATGTGCTATGATATTTATTATTTGTTTATGTTTGTACTCTCTTTTTTTAATCCGTCTCTTTTTGTACTTCCTTGTTTAATTCCCTAAATAAGTTTGTTTAAAAAAATCTATCGAGTATTGACTGAAAATAATTAAGTTTTTATTCATTTCAGTTCCCAATTCGAAATTTCAGACGAAAAACTTTTTTAATTTCGACTTCTTTTTTTGGTTGATTTACCTTAATTATTTTGTTTTCTCCAATAGAAGACTATTAATTCGAATAATGAGAATCTAAAATTTTTGAGAGAATTAAAAAATTGAATAAATTTTCATCATCATGCATTTTCACGTCTACAACTATTTATTTTGAGGGTTTTGTGACAAAAATCAATTTTTTTGATGCTCAGTTAAGCTTAGATAGTTAAATTCTTTACACTGTATATTCTACTAAAGATCATTGATACTGATTACTCTACAAGCTAGTTTTTGAAAATCTTCTGAAAATTTCCTTCATCTGAACAATTTGATTTTAACAAAGAATTTTCAACTTAGTTTATTTGCAATTAATTCAACTTAATTCAAGGTTTTCTGATTAATTTGTCAAATAATTATTTCATATTGAAGCTGATCAAAATTTCATATCAGAATCAACACTTTGCTAGTTTGACAAATGGAAACGTTAACTGAGCTTTAAAAAATTTCAATCCTACACTCATAGAAAAAAAGTAACCATAATATTTGTTATATGTTTGTTAAACTAGTTTAACAAATTATTGGTTAAGTTTACATGGGTAAAAAAAATTTCAACCAAACTATTTGTTAAAAATTTTACAATTGAGTTTGTTAAATCAACAAATTTATTTGTTAATAATTGATTTAATTAAATTTTAATTTTTGTATTCAAAACTCTTGTTTGATTAATTTCAAACGATTCCCATTAATTTATTGCGTTATTTTTAATGAGAAAACTGCTTTAAATTGAATTTTGTTGATTTTGTTTAACAAATTAATTTGTTAATTTTAACAAAACATTTGTTACAATGTTTTTATTTGTAATTTGTTTTGGAAAATAATGATTTACAAACCAAATCGTAATTTAAAAATTAAATTTGTTCATTTTTTTAAGTCCTACATTTCTATTTTATTATTCATAAATTAATTTTAAAATTTGGATATATTTTTTAAAGAATTATTTATATTGGTTCTGAATCAAATTTTATAAGTAAAAGTTTACAAGCAGCGGACTAGCGGATCATCAACAGGAATTCAGAAGTTAAGCAACCACGGAAACATTTTAAAATAAGATGGGTGACCAAATTAACAATTTTCTGGTTAATATTAACCGAAAATTTGTTATTTTTTTCTTTAAAAAAAAATTTTAACAAAAAGTTTGTTAAATTAACAATTTTTATAGTTAACAATTCAACCTTACAAATAATTTGGTTAAATTTAACAAATAAGTTCGTAAACACTATTTTAACGAATTGTTTGTTAACATTTTCCATACAAGTTACAAACATTTTGTTACTTTTTTTCTATGAGTGTAGTCACATGAACACCCTCAACATCAATAGCAGATATAAAAAACTGAAAATCATTAAAAAGAATTTCGTTGCAAAAACTTATTCGATAGCGCAATAAAAATTGAAAATCATCAAATTCGTCACAAACCCAAAAAAATAAATTCATGCTCAGCGTTCAATATATAAATTTTTTTGAATGTTGTTACATTTTTTTCGCCTTCATACCCTCGAGTCCATAATAAAATTGCAAGTGCACTCACAAACAATTTCCATTTTATCAATCATATTTCCTGTAAAAGCCCACTTCATTTGGCGCTTTGAGCAGGCGTGCATATACAGTAACTGTGAAATAAAAAAAAAGAAGTGTATGAAATTGTATACATTGTATAGTCCTGTTTGATGCACTGCAATATAACATAAAAGGCTATGATGAGAAGAAAAAAAAGTTTTTTAATTGAATTCAACAATGTGTACGAGCATCAAAGGCATCTCATTTTAATATTATGCTTCACATCCACTCACGTCAATTTACATGCGAGGATGATACAAAAAAAAGGAGTAAATTTAAAATTATCATGTAAATGAGTTTCATCTAAAAATGAATGAATGAAACAAAAACTGAGAGTTGGAAAATACAATTATTGAGAAAAATGAATTGAATGGATGAAATAATAAATTACAAGGTGTGGTGGAACAGTTTTTATAAATTGTTTTATGGTAATTAACATGTTGTAAATTATTCATGAATCTTGTAGGTGGAAAATTGATATAAGTTGCCTCTAAATGGTTGAAAAGTTCAATTTTAATATATAAGCCATAGATAAACCAGAAACCAGCAATTACCACACCTTGAATTACACTCACGAAAACTTTTTTCCACGCCACCGACTTTTCATAAAATTTAATTTGATTTCAGCACACATGAGCCCATTAATGTAATTTCAAATAATTGATGTGTCTGCCATGCTCATATTCTCATGCCATAGACATAAAGGCAAAAGGGAAAAAATGGCAGACATAATTAAAATTTAATTAGGTTTGGTTGAAGCACGCTTTGGATTACAAAGCTTTACATTTTCCACTCTCAAAGTTTTCAGTTCCAATTATGCTCAAGAATTTTTTTTATAGATTAATAAACATTGCTTACCTGCTTGCCTGAAGAAAAATTCTTGTGCTGAATTTTCAGATCTAAATTTGATTAAATTCTTCGCATCATTTTTCTGCCTTCTTAAAAAAATTTCATCTCTTCTTTTTTTTAATTTAATATTGCCGCCTGCTCGCCAACATTGAAGTATCTTCGTGCAAAACTCGATTTAAGTCTATTAATGGACTCGAGTGTTTACTTCCATTACTCATGTACTTTCATGATTATAAATAATAATTTATTTCTACGAAAGCTTCTATGCAAGCTGCTGCTTTAAAAGGCTCTCACAAAATTTTTATTTATATTTTTTCATCAATGAAAGATTTTTAAAAAAATTGGAAATTTAAAAAAAAAACTCAAAATTCAACAAAAAAAAATTTTATTAAAAAAATATTCAAAAAACTTTCTTTCTTCCATCTACAAAAATTTTCATTGAAATCTTTGATCATATGTACATAAAACTTACTTATAGACGGCCCCGCCGTGGTCAGAATCAATCTTTTTGTAAGATCAATCGCAACTATTAGCGATATTAAAATGGTAAGTCGACAGAATGAGCATCAGCCATGATGTTATTTAAATCTTATTGTTTATGTCCTTCCTTAGTAAATTGAATGAGTTATCAAATATTTTATTTATTTATTTTATTTTTGTGAGAAACTCCAGAAATACTTTCAGTTCTGTTTTCTATTATCCAGTTCTTGTTACTGATTTTGACATGTTTATGAGAAAGAGTTTAATTAAATTTTATTATGAGAAGAAATATCAACAAATTAAAATTAAAACTCAATGGTCTTATGCTTTTTAGACAGGGGATGTACACTTGATTGCTAAGCTATTGAAATTAGGTATTTGTAGGAATGTTTTGAGGCATTTATTAATTTTTTTTATGTAGGTTTTTGATTAGAATGGTGAGACTAGTTTCGATGGCTAGTTTGTGTTTTTATAGACAGTTTTGAATTTTCATGTTTTTTAGTCAAATCTTTAACATTAACCCCAAACAAAAATAA